GCAGTTGATGCCCAGGCCTTGCTCGTAGTTGTTGGAGGTCGTAGTGTGGTAAGCGGCTTCTCTGTAGTATAGGAAAGTCCGCAGCGGGGTACTGAGCTCGCTTGCTGCTATGGCCAGCCAAGCAAGAATCAAGATGGTGAAATATGAAGGAAGTAAAAGCTTTGAGAGTGCATAACCTTTATCGTGTAGAGTGGTAGTTGAAGATGTTTCTGAAGGCATGTCGAGACTGGTTGTTGAAGAATTATCAAAAGGCTTGTTGAGAGAAGTTGTAGCGTCGAAGAATTTTTTAGGAGCGAGTTGCAGATTTTCCTCGGCTTCTTGAATAATATCTTCCTTGATATCAATGGCAGGTGTGTCAGCAAGGATGTCGATGGTGCTTCGTTTCATATTTTCTTCTTTGCTGCTGCTGAGTTCAATCGGTGGAACGGTCACCAAAGCGGCTGCTGCGATGATGGATGGAGCTTGAAGAAGAGCGGCATCTTCAGAAGATTTTGCTGCCTTGAAGCGTAAAACGAATACACCATTTTTTGTTACTGCTCTTCCGATGTACGCGTTGTCCACATCATGTATTAACTCTTGCTCTTGTGTCGTGCAGTTTTCGGCCGTGCGGATTTTCTTCTTCAAGAGTTGAAGAGTTGACACTAAATTGAAGCCAAGATTGTCGACGAGTAAAACATTGGTAAGGCGTAAGGAATTTCTCGTATCGATTGATGTCAAAAGTAGACTGCCGATGTTTTCTGCTGCAATTGTTTGACCGTTGGCGAGTGTGATTGGGCAGGGTTGAAGAAGTCGATGACGGTTGTAGATGAAAGGGTTTGTTGAAGAGACCATGTGATGGCCACAACAACTATCCAAGTACCAAGTATCGGTATCTGTACTGCAATTGACCATGTGAGTGGATGAAGTAGGTAAACGGAAATTTGAAGTTACCGTATTAGTGGCAGAGTTTGAATTAGTGGCTGTCGGCTTTGATGAGTTGCTTGGAGGGGCAGAACGGAGTGTCGTTGGTGGTGTTGATATTGCAGATGTTGCCTTTGGAGGCGCATGTTGCTGAAAAGACTGCTTCGAAGGCTGACGTAGCGGCTGTGATGATTTCGACTCCTGCGGTTCTTCAGGAGGTAAATACCTCTTCTTAAAGTAGCACCGGTCAGTAGAATGTCCTCCCTTGTTGCAATTGTGACAAAAATATTGAGGACGTCGTGTTGGTGTTGAATAGAAACTGAGTTGTATATCTCCCCGTTTGTTGCGTTGTGATTGCAGGTCAAGATCTTGCTGTTCCGCTTGAAGATACGACGAAATTTCAGCTTCGGAGAGGTTCGGGTTCATGCGCAGGAAGGCGCGCGTTTGTCGCCATTCGGGTCCAAGGCCAGCAAGAAGGACCGTGAGATACATCTCACGAGGGAAGTATCCTCCACTCTTTTCCAGTTGATCTCGTAGTGTACGGACGCGATTGACGTAGTCCATGACATTTTCGTTTGTTATCATCTGCACATTTGTCAGCTGCGAAAGAATTTTACTCACTGTGATTGTATCTTGCGCCATATACACCCCTTTTAAGTGTCTCCATGCAGTTTCAACTGGCGTAAAGCTGGAATGGAAAGCTCGAACGCCGAGCTGCTCCTTTGGCGATAAGTTTCGAACAAGAACTGTATACGCCCCGAGAGAGGCGTGCAAGAAACTTTGCTGCTCCAGTTGTGTTCCCGTAACAGGATACGTAAATTCGCCGGTGAAGAACGGCCATAGCCTAGCGGACTGCGCCAGAAGCTCGAATTCAAAGCTCCAGGAGTAAAAATCCACTCCGTTAAAAGGTATAGTGGTCTTGATTTGTGTGTTGTTCAGTAAATTCGGCGGTTGAAAAATAATGCCCTGTTGTTGCTGTTGTTGCTGTTGTTGCTGTTGTTGCTGTTGTTGCTGATGTTGCTGTTGAGGAGGTGAACGCCCGAAGATGTAGAAGGGCTGCTGCTGCTGCGACTGTGGCTGCTGCGCAAAAGGCGAGAAGGCAAATGAGCCAGTACTTGGAGCTGAAGCTCCACGCATATAGCTTGAGCCGTCAAGGCTCATTCCACTAAACGCTGACGATATTGATTGGGTTGAAAACTGTTGTGATGTTGCTTGTTGTTGTGCTGTTGTCTGATGTTGTGCTGATGCCTGTATTTGCTGTTGTTGCGCTGCAGGGGCAATCGATGACATCCCTGGAATATTGGCAGAAGACGGATTCTGCTGCTGCTGCTGCATACCGATGTTCGCATAAGCCGGTGGAAACGGTCCAGAGGCTGAGAGACCAGAGGCGGTCGTGGAGACAGGTACTCCAGTAGTTCCAGAACTTGATCCAGTAGATGCTGCTGGTGATGATCCAGTCATAGTTGACAGTAGTCTTAATTCTAGATAACTCTCATACCATGTAATAATTTGACAGGTGTTGCAGGAGACTAAGTATAGAACCTGCAACCACGAGTACTTAACCAAGGATCTTTGTTGGAATGGTAGATTAGTAAGACAGCGGAAGTCTTATAAGAGTGAACCTGAGCAGATGAGCTTGTGGGTAGTCGAAGGTTGAATAACCTGAGCACATAATTATGTGGAAATTCAAGGTTAATAATAGAAAGGCATTACTAGGATTTATAGCTCTAGGGAAAGTACCTGTTCGGCTAATTGCGCGCTATGCGACGTATTCGTCATACTATAGGGTCGCGACTATTCGCGTGACCGAAGCGACTCGTTACGCCTATTCGCATAACTGAAGCGGTAGACTGACGTCATCAATGAGACGCGCGATGCTTTGCTGACGTCATCACTTGGACTTGTTTCCTTACCGAGAAACTCGATACTGCTAACTACACCAAAAACGGAACTTGCAGGAATGCAAAACTTCATTTATCACAACATAGACAGCCCTGAAAAATTCGTCTGATCGTTAAGAGCAATGTTTTATTTTCGTCTGAAATTTAAGACTGCGTGTAATATTTCGTATGAGTCTGCAGACAGCGCATATTCTTTCGTCTGGAAATATTTTCTGCAGGCCTGTGGTATGAGAGCGCTGATTGGCCCTTAGCCAAAATCAGGGCCCAATACTTGCTGGGGGTCTCCGTGAGGGTGCTATCTGACCCTTCACCAAAATCAGAGGCCACTGTATGCTGTGCTAGGGGCTGTGAGGGAAATGACAGGCCCTTCACAAAAATTACCTCCCAGTTTGTGCTGGAGGCGGTGTGAATTTTTTTTTGCCGATGTGCGCTGTAGGCTTGGTCTGTGGGGGCCTGTGTGTGCGAGGGCGCCCATTGGCCCTTCACAAAATTCCCACCTGGATGGCGCCGATTTCCCTCCCGCCTTTGCAAATTTGATTCTCACACCCCCCAGTTCTTTTTGCCTCCCACGCGCACTCGCTCGAACCACTTTGTACAAACTAAGTTGCGTCGCCTTAGTTCAGGAACTCGGCAGAAAGTCAGTACTTCATGGAGATTCCAAGGCAAAATTAAGTGAGATGTAGCGTAATTTTCCGTCTGAAATTTCAGACGTCTCAATCTGTTTCGTCTGGAAGTTCAGACTGCTGCAAAATTTCCGTTTGATGGTCAGACGAAGCAAAAAAACCCGGTCTGACTTTCAGACGGGCTGAAATCCTAGCGAGGACCCTGATCACGGTATTACTTTCTACTTCGCAATACGACCCTTGCTGTAGTGTGCAGCTTGTTAAAATTATATATTGAGTTATATAATTGTTAGGCTTGGTAGGTTACTGAACTTTACTGTAGAGGGTACAATCCCCTCCTTGTATGCCTCTCTCTTTCTATTCCAACTCCTTTTCTCTCCTCAACTTTTCTCCTTCCTAAACCTCACGCCACTCTATGGTTCCTCCTAGCTAAACCTTATGTCTTTCCTAGCTTCCTAGCTAAGCTAACTTTCTAACATGGTATTAAGAGCAGGACTTCCTCCCTGCTGGACCGCCTCCTCACGCTTCCGCCGCGTACTCCTTGCCTCGTTCGCTCGCGCGGCCATGGCGGCCGCGTTGTACTGCAGTGGCGGCGTCGTGATGCCGCTGGCCGCGTCGTGCCGCTGCCGACTCGACGCGCTGCCGTGGCGTCCGGCCACCGTGCTGCCGTCGCAGCGTCGACGTCCCGCCGCGGCGTCGACGCCGCTCTGTGATGGCGACGTCTGGCGGCAGCCGGCTGCGCGACGCCAGTGGCGCCGCTAAACTGCCCACCCGCACGCGAGTAAGCGCCGTGCCAGCAATGGCGCTGCGCTGAAGATCCGAAGCCCCGCCCCTTCCCCCTTTCCTTTGTCCCCTCCTCTTCGCCACAGCCGCCGCAGACTCTCGCCGGTCGTCCCCCTGTCGCGGAGGTTGGACACGTCGCCGGAAGGGCGGGGGCCGCTGCACTCACTGTTAAAGTAGCTCTTAGGCTAGGATACTAGGCAGGAACAAGGCGCCATGAATGTGGCGGCGGGGTTTAGCTAGGAGCTAGACGAGAGTGTCGAGAGAGAAGAGAGATGGATTAGGAAGAGAGAGGAGTACAAGGAGGGGTTTGTACCCCCTACAGAAAGGTTCAGTAACAACCTACCAAGCCTATATTAAATTATAACTTATATAATTTGAACACTCACCGCCGTCGTAAGCCAAAGCCATCGCCGTCGCCGCTGTCGTCGCCGCAGGCCTTTTGCCGTCGCACGCCCGTCGTCGCCGCCGCTGTCGCCGCGGCCGGGACTGCCGCCGTCGCCATCTCCAAGGCCTTGAGGGCCCTGTTGGAGTCGTTGTGGCTGATGGGAATGGGGGTGCTAGGTTAGGGGGTGTGGGGGTGTGTGTGGGCTTGTGACTACCAAGCCTAGGGGGTGTGTTAAAATTATATATTGAGTTATATAATTGTTAGGCTTGGTAAGTTACTAAACTTTACTATAGAGGTTACAATCCCCTCCTTGTATGCCTCTCTCTTTCTATTCCAACTCCTTTTCTCTCCTCAACTTTTCTCCTTCCTAAACCTCACGCCACTCCATGGTTCCTCCTAGCTAAACCTTGTGTCTTTCCTAGCTTCCTAGCTAAGCTAGCCTTCTAATACAGCCGACCCTGTGCAACATCCAAACGCAGCAGCCAAATTTTGAAGCCCGCGCACGTGCCCAACATTGGTCAGGTTGGTTGGCAACGAGGAGGGCACAGGCGAAAACACTGAGTCACCAGTACTGTCACCGAGCACTGCTGCCAAATCCACGCGGTGTTTGGATTGGACAGAGCCAGACGACTCTGATTTTATTTCGTGCCAAACAATCGCGAGCTGCTCGCGCTGATGTGGCACTCGGCAATTCCTGATATCAGTGTTTTTGTGGGATACAGGTATCAGACTCGATTTTGTTTAGGCAGTTCCTGATATCTGTTCAGTAGGAATACACCCTCAGTGTCGAAGATGTCTGCCTCATTCTTCAAAACGTCATCATCAAGACAGTGCCTCTGAAACTGTGAAGCAGCCGAGTCATAACGCCGAATGACCCGTCAGCATTCTACATGTTACGGGATGGTTTACTCTTCACAGGGCATTTACTACTTCGTGAGTCCAAACTTCTTCATAAGTGCCGAGTCTCTGAAGCTGTAGGGCAGCCATGTCATGATGCGGAATGAGCCCACCAGGTGCCCAAACGCCCACTCGATAGGCACCCTCTTGGCCAAGGCTTTCTGGAGGGTGGAGGGGTGGGGGTGGGGAAGAGTGAGAGGACAAGTACAAGAAGTCGCTGGAGCTGTAGGGCAGCCATCACATGATGCGGAATGACCTCACCAGGTGCCCAAACGCCCACTCTATAGGCACCCTCTTGGCCAAGACTTTCTGGAATGTGGGGGAGGGGGAAGGAGGGGAAGGATGATACAGAGAGGAGGGAAACAAGTTAAGTGTGGGTGGCTATAAGGCCACCATGCCATAACACGGAATGACCCCACCACCAGGTGCCCAAACGCCCACCCTGTACGAACCCTCTCCTTCCCCCACATCATCTCACCCCCACTAGAGCCCCAGTGAACACGTCTCCTGGTGTGGACTGTGGCATTTGTGATGCGCCTGCCCTGGCCTCTAACTAGTGTGCACATGCACATCGAGGCACACACACATGTGTCCGAACCCACTCATTTCCTCACCAATGCACCTCCACTTACGCCCTCACGAGCACGTTTTCCGGTGTGAACTGAGGGGTCTGAGAGGCGCCCGCCCTGGCCACTATATGCTCACCCATTAGCAGCACGCACACATCTCCTCACCCTTTGCTGTGAACCCACACATTTTCTAAGAGACTCATCTCCACCAACGCCCTTGCGAACACGTCTCCTGGTGTGGACTGAGGCGTCTGAGAGGCGCCTACTCTGGCCTCTATCTGCTGTGCATGCAGACATCTCCCCACTCACTGCTGTGAACCCACACATGTCCCAAGAGAGACTCACCTCCACCAACGCCCTTGCGAACACGTCTCCTGGTGTGGACTGAGGGGTCTGGGAGGCGCCTGCTCTGGCCTCTATCTGCTTCTGGAAGCGAGAGAAGATCTTCAGCTGCAGGTGGGAGACTGACGAGGATGAGTTACCGCCAAAGTTGGACCTGGGGAGGAGTGGGACGCGTGGTAGAGGGGGTAGGGGGATATTGAGCGGCTTCTATCTGCTTCTGGAAGCGAGAGAAGAACTTCAGCTGCAGGTGAGAGACTGATGAGGAGGAGTTACCTCCAAAGTTGGATCTGGGATGATATGTGAGGGCAAAGGGGGGAAGGGTGGTAGGGGGGGGATGGAGCTGATGAGTGGCCTCTCTTTGCTTCTGGAAGCGAGAGACGATCTTCAGATACAAATGCGAGACTGAGGATGAGGAGTTACCACCAAAGTTTGACCTGGGATGCGATGGGATGGGTGGTGTGGGGCGAGGGGGGGGTAGGGGCGATTGGGGGGGTTACATACCCGGTGCTCCCAACCCAATGCTGTCTACTGTCACTCACATACCTGATCGCACTGGGAGCAACGAACATGACGTGGGGTTTTACAATAAATCTCCCAAGCCATTCTTACCTGATGGCGCCCGGAGCAACGTGCATGAGATGGATACCAAAGGGCTTCAAACTGAGTGGACGCAGTGGACAGCTAAGTGGGCAAACTCGTTGGGGTCTCCCAGCGTTTTGCGTAAATTCGTAAGAGTAAATTCGCGTTTGCGAATTTACCTGAAATTCGCGAAACGCTGGGGGAAAATTTTCCGGGCAGCCCGGACAAAGAAAATGCGAATTTCCCCACTCGGTTCGCGGCCACTTGGCGAAGCCATCCGTGGCCTCGCCAATTCGTGATTCTAACTTTCGAACCTCCAAACATGCTCCCAACCCCTCCCATTCTCCCAACCGCATCAAACCCCACCGCATCTAGATATCCCAACCCATCCACCACCCAACACAACTTACGCAACCATATCACGCATCTCACATGCTACTCTACCAGACGTAGAGTAGATCTAGCTAATCACTCCGCGTCCTAGCTAGTAGATCTAGTAGCTTACCGCATAGACATTAGCTTACCTCACGAGTATGATGTTGCTGTATGTTGCAGCAGGGCTGTTGTTGACATCCACCCACGGTCCCTCCACCAGTCCTTACGCTGAGCTGGTCGGGTCCCTGATGTACGCGATGATGTGCACCCGCCCCGACCTCGCCTACCCTATCAGTGTCCTGGCGCGCTTTGTCGGCACCGGCAAACACACTCCCGAGCACTGGCAAGCGGCCAAGCGCGTTCTTCGCTACATCAAAGGCACCAAGGACTATGTCCTCACCTTGGGTGTTCCCACCCCTCCTCAGCTCACTGGCTACAGCGACTCCTCTTGGGCGGATTCTCAGCCCGATCGTCGCAGCTCACAAGGGTATGGTTTCTCCCTCGGGAGCGGCCTCATTTCCTGGCGCTCCACCCCCTCCTCCTCGATCGCTCTCTCCTCCTGCGAAGCAGAGCTCTACGCCGTCACCATGGCGGCCCAGGAGGCGCGGTGGCTCAGCTTCCTCCTCGCTGAGCTGGATGCTCCCCAGTCCTGTCCCACCATTTGGTGCGACAATGCCAGTACTATCCACCTCACGAAGGAGGCCGTTTTTCATGGTCGCTCCAAACACATCGAGCTTCGCCACTACTTCGTTCGTGAGCTCGTCCAGGCTGGACACCTCACCGTCCGCAAGATTGACTCTTCAGCCAGCCTTGCGGACATTTTCACCAAGGCCCTCCCTCGCCGCCCCCATGCGGCTCTCCTTCGCCTTCTGGGTCTTACCCCTCCCTCACAGGGGAATACCTGATTCAGGGGTTGCTTCTCCTCACCTTCCCAAGACTTATGGCACTCTGTAGGCTAAGGGGTTGTGTTAGAATATTCTCCCTTCATTCTATTAGCTTACATCGTTTCATTGTCTTAGGTACTTAATAAGCACCCCACTAGGGTGTATCCACCCAAGTTAGGGGTTGGGCTCCCAACCTTGTTGGGTTCCCAAATTGGTTGGGCTCCCAATTATTGGAACCCCCAATAATCCCAACCAAGATTATTGGACCCACCAATAATCTTGGCTAGGATTATTGGACCCCCAATAAGTTGGCCAACTCAACTTATTGCGGTCACCAATAATCGTGGTCACCTCCCAACCAAAACCCCTCCCCTTCCCTCCTACTCCTCACCTATGTATACCCACTCCTTTCCTAATACAATCATCACTTCAGTTTCTCACACCTCCCCCCTCACAGCACTGTGCTTCCCCCTCACAGCACTGTGCTTCTCCACTCACAGCACTATGCTTCCCCCCTCACAGCACTGTGCATCCCCCCTCATAGCACTGTGCATCCCCCCTCACAGCACTGTGCCTTCCCCCTCACGGCACTGTGTTTCCCCCCTCACAGCACTGTGCCTCCCCCTTCACAGCACTGTGCCTCCCCCCTCACAGCACTGTGCTTCCCCCCTCACAGCACTGTGCTTCCCCCCTCACAGCACTGTGCTACCCCACTCACAGCACTGTGCTTCCCCCCTCACAGCACTGTGCCTCTCCCCTCACAGCACTGTGCCTCCCCCCTCAAAGCACTGTGCTCTCCCCCTCACAGCACTGTGCCTCCCCCCTCACAGCACTGTGCTTCCCCCCTCACAGCACTGTGCCTCCCCCCTCACAGCACTGTGCATCCCCCCTCACAGCACTCTGCTTCCCCCCTCACAGCACTGTGCTACCCCCCTCACAGCACTGTGCTTCCCCCCTCACGGCACTGTGCTTCCCCCCTCACAGCACTGTGAAGGAAATAGTTTGGAAGAGAAAAGATTGATTGAGTAGGGAGCCAAGAGGCTCTTTTGTACAAAACAAGGAGCAAGGAAGAGTTGGAAGGGAAGCTCTCCTATTGGCCATAAAGTGGACCAATGGGAGAGGTTGCTTGTATGGCAAGCAACCACAAAGTGTGGTGCTCTCTAATTGGCCACAATGTGGATCAATGAGAGAGATTGTTTGGAAGGCAAGCAACCACAAAGTGTGGTGCTTGGTGATTGGTTGGTTCCTAGGACCAAGGACCATTTGGTTGGAATAGTGCCAACCAAATGTTTACGACCAAATCCAATCTTGACCAACCCAAATGTGGGGTTGGTCAACCCAACCAACAACCCCCCAATATTTATAATGACTACACCTCCTAATCTAGGCATGCATGTTGTATAGATATATATTTTACAACACACTGTGCTTCCCCCCTCACAGCACTGTGCTTCCCCACTCACAGCACTGTGCTTCCCCCCTCACAGCACTGTGCCTCTCCCCTCACAGCACTGTGCTTCCCCCCTCACAGCACTGTGCTTCCCCCCTCACAGCACTGTGCCTCCCCCCTCACAGCACTGTGCTTCCCCCCTCACAGCACTGTGCTACCCCACTCACAGCACTGTGCTTCCCCCCTCACAGCACTGTGCATCCCCCCTCACAGCACTGTGCCTTCCCCCTCACGGCACTGTGCTTCCCCCCTCACAGCACTGTGCCTCCCCCCTCACAGCACTGTGCTTCCCCCCTCACAGCACTGTGCTTCCCCCTCACAGCACTGTGCTTGCCCCCTCACAGCACTGTGCTTCCCCCCTCACAGCACTATGCTACCCCACCCACAGCACTGTGCCTCCCCCCTCACAGCAATGTGCTTCCCCCTCACAGCACTGTGCTTCCCCCCTCACAGCACTGTGCTTGCCCCTTCACAGCACTGTACTTCCCCCTCACAGCACTATGCTACCCCCCTCACAGCACTGTGCTACCCCACTCACAGCACTGTGCTTCCCCCCTCACAGCACTGTGCATCCCCCCCTCACAGCACTGTGCCTCCCCCCTCACGGCACTGTGCTTCCCCCCTCACAGCACTGTGCCTCCCCCCTCACAGCACTGTGCTTCCCCCTCACAGCACTGTGCTTCCCCCCTCACAGCACTGTGCTTCCCCCCTCACAGCACTATGCTTCCCCCCTCACAGCACTGTGCTTCCCCCCTCACAGCACTGTGCTTCCCCCCTCACAGCAATGTGCTTCCCCCCTCACAGCACTGTGCTTCCCCCCTCACAGCACTGTGCTTCCCCCCTCACAGCACTGTGCTTCCCCCTCACAGCACTGTGCTTCCCCCCAAAGGGCTTCAGCTCCATCCTCAGGGCATGAGTGATGCTGTGCACAAGATTTCATTTCTATGCAATATTTGTTCTCTCTAAAAAAACAGTCTTCTACCAAGCCTGCTGCCACGTATGGCTAAAACCACCACCAAGTGGTGCTCCCTTCTGCTCCATCCTCAGGGCATGAGTGATGCTGTGCACTACTGCCAAGGTAGTCCATTCAAGACATCTCAATAACAGCCTCTATTCACGTCACCATATATGATAGCCCCTGGAGCCACGAGCATGACTTGGATACCGAACGGCTTCAGCTCCATCCTGAGCGCATGTGCGATGCTGTGCACTGCAGCCTTGGCCGCACAGCAGGTGCCCCCTTACGAGGCATCACCACGACTGTTTCGTACCTGATCGCCCCTGGGGCAACGAGCATGACTTGGATTCCAAACGGCTTCAGCTCCATCCTGAGCGCATGGGAGATGTTGTGCACCGCTGCCTTGGCCGCACAGTAGGTGCCCGCAAAGGGGGTGGTGATCCACGCTGACACCGACCCTATGTTGACAATCTTGCCAGTACCCTGGAAATAGAAAATGGAGGGAGGGAGCACGGGAGGGAGGGGGGACGTGCTGTGCACCGCTGCCTTGGCCGCTCAGTAGGAGCCAGCGAAGAGGGTGGTGATCCACGCTGACACCGACCCTATGTACACCACCTTGATGACCCATCTACGCCAGGGATAGGAGATGGGGGGAAAGTATGGGAGGAAGGTGGCACATGAAAGGGATTGGAGACGCACGGGACCTCAATCCGACATGGAACGGGACTTCAGAGGCATCTCTGCCATGGGATGGGACGAACGCAGCCTGCCCTGTACTCGTCGTACCTGTCATCTCCCTGTCATCTCCCTGTCGTCTCCCTGTCGTCTCCCTGTCGTCTCCCTGTCATTTCCCTGTCGTCTCCCTGTCGTCTCCCTGTCGTCTCCCTGCCGTCTCCCTGCCGTCTCCCTGCCGTCTCCCTGCCATCTCCCTGTCATCTCCCTGTCATCTCCCTGTCATCTCCCTGCCATCTCCCTGCCACCTCCCTGTCACCTCCCTCTCATCTCCCTCTCATCTCCCTTTCATCTCCCTCTCATCTCCCTCTCATCTCCCTCTCATCTCCCACTCATCTCCCTCTCATCTCCCTCTCATCTCACTCTCATCTCCCTCTCATCTCCCTCTTATCTCCCTCTCATCTCCCTCTCATCTCCCTCTCATCTCCCTCTCATCTCCCTCTCATCTCCCTCTCATCTCCCTGCCATCTCCCTGCCATCTCCCTGCCATCTCCCTGCCATCTCCCTCTCATCTACCTCTCACCTCCCTGCCACCTCCCTGCCACCTCCCTGCCACCTCCCTGTCACCTCCCTGCCATCTCCCTGCCATCTCCCTCTCATCTCCCTCTCATCTCCCTCTCATCTCCCTCTCATCTCCCTCTCATCTCCCTCTCATCTCCCTCTCATCTCCCTCTCATCTCCCTCTCATCTCCCTCTCATCTCCCTCTCATCTCCCTCTCATCCCTCTCATCTCCCTCTCATCTCCCTCTCATCTCCCTCTCATCTCCCTCCATCTCCCTGCCATCTCCCTGCCATCTCCCTGCCATCTCCCTGCCATCTCCCTGCCATCTCCCTGCCATCTCCCTGCCATCTCCCTCTCATCTCCCTGCCATCTCCCTGCCATCTCCCTGCCATCTCCCTGCCATCTCCCTCTCATCTCCCTCTCATCTCCCTCTCATCTCCCTCTCATCTCCCTCTCATCTCCCTCTCATCTCCCTCTCATCTCCCTCTCATCTCCCTCTCATCTCCCTCTCATCTCCCTCTCATCTCCCTCTCATCTCCCTGCCATCTCCCTGCCATCTCCCTGCCATCTCCCTGCCATCTCCCTCTCATCTACCTCTCACCTCCCTGCCACCTCCCTGCCACCTCCCTGCCACCTCCCTGTCACCTCCCTGCCATCTCCCTGCCATCTCCCTCTCATCTCCCTCTCATCTCCCTCATCTCCCTCTCATCTCCCTCTCATCTCCCTCTCATCTCCCTCTCATCTCCCTCTCATCTCCCTCTCATCTCCCTCTCATCTCCCTCATCTCCCTCTCATCTCCCTCTCATCTCCCTCTCATCTCCCTCTCATCTCCCTCTCATCTCCCTCTCATCTCCCTCTCATCTCCCTGCCATCTCCCTGCCATCTCCCTGCCATCTCCCTGCCATCTCCCTGCCATCTCCCTGCCATCTCCCTGCCATCTCCCTGCCATCTCCCTCTCATCTCCCTGCCATCTCCCTGCCATCTCCCTGCCATCTCCCTGCCATCTCCCTCTCATCTCCCTCTCATCTCCCTCTCATCTCCCTCTCATCTCCCTCTCATCTCCCTCTCATCTCCCTCTCATCTCCCTCTCATTTCCCTCACATCTCCCTCTCATCTCCCTCTCATGTCCCTCTCATCTCCCTCTCACCTCCCTCTCACCTCCCTGCCATCTCCCTGCCACCTCCCTGCCATCTCCCTGCCATCTCCCTGCCATCTCCCTGCCATCTCCCTGCCATCTCCCTGCCATCTCCCTGCCATCTCCCTCTCATCTCCCTCTCATCTCCCTCTCATCTCCCTCTCATCTCCCTCTCATCTCCCTCTCATCTCTCTCTCATCTCCCTCTCATCTCCCTCTCATCTCCCTGCCATCTCCCTCTCATCTCCCTCTCATCTCCCTCTCATCTCCCTCTCATCTCCCTCTCATCTCCCTCTCATCTCCCTCTCATCTCCCTCTCATCTCCCTCTCATCTCCCTCTCATCTCCCTGCCATCTCCCTCTCATCTCCCTCTCATCTCCCTCTCATCTCCCTCTCATCTCCCTGCCATCTCCCTGCCATCTCCCTCCCATCTCCCTGCCATCTCCCAGCCATCTCCCTGCCATCTCCCTGCCATCTCCCTCTCATCTCCCTCACATCTCCCTCTCATCTCCCTCTCATGTCCCTCTCATGTCCCTCTCATCTCCCTCTCACCTCCCTCTCACCTCCCTGACATCTCCCTGCCACCTCCCTGCCATCTCCCTGCCATCTCCCTGCCATCTCCCTGCCATCTCCCTGCCATCTCCCTGCCATCTCCCTCTCATCTCCCTCTCATCTCCCTCTCATCTCCCTCTCATCTCCCTCTCATCTCCCTCTCATCTCTCTCATCTCCCTCTCATCTCCCTCTTATCTCCCTCTCATCTCCCTCTCATCTCCCTCTCATCTCCCTCTCATCTCCCTCTCATCTCCCTCTCATCTCCCACTCATCTCCCTCTCATCTCCCTCTCATCTCACTCTCATCTCCCTCTAATCTCCCTCTTATCTCCCTCTCATCTCCCTCTCATCTCCCTCTCATCTCCCTCTCATCTCCCTCTCATCTCCCTCTCATCTCCCTGCCATCTCCCTGCCATCTCCCTACCATCTCCCTGCCATCTCCCTCTCATCTACCTCTCACCTCCCTGCCACCTCCCTGCCACCTCCCTGCCACCTCCCTGTCACCTCCCTGCCATCTCCCTGCCATCTCCCTCTCATCTCCCTCTCATCTCCCTCTCATCTCCCTCTCATCTCCCTCTCATCTCCCTCTCATCTCCCTCTCATCTCCCTCTCATCTCCCTCTCATCTCCCTCTCATCTCCCTCTCATTTCCCTCACATCTCCCTCTCATCTCCCTCTCATGTCCCTCTCATCTCCCTCTCACCTCCCTCTCACCTCCCTGCCATCTCCCTGCCACCTCCCTGCCATCTCCCTGCCATCTCCCTGCCACCTCCCTGCCATCTCCCTGCCATCTCCCTGCCATCTCCCTGCCATCTCCCTCTCATCTCCCTCTCATCTCCCTCTCATCTCCCTCTCATCTCCCTCTCATCTCCCTCTCATCTCTCTCTCATCTCCCTCTCATCTCCCTCTCATCTCCCTGCCATCTCCCTCTCATCTCCCTCTCATCTCCCTCTCATCTCCCTCTCATCTCCCTCTCATCTCCCTCTCATCTCCCTCTCATCTCCCTCTCATCTCCCTCTCATCTCCCTCTCATCTCCCTCCCATCTCCCTCTCATCTCCCTCTCATCTCCCTCTCATCTCCCTCTCATCTCCCTGCCATCTCCCTGCCATCTCCCTGCCATCTCCCTGCCATCTCCCAGCCATCTCCCTGCCATCTCCCTGCCATCTCCCTCTCATCTCCCTCACATCTCCCTCTCATCTCCCTCTCATGTCCCTCTCATGTCCCTCTCATCTCCCTCTCACCTCCCTCTCACCTCCCTGACATCTCCCTGCCACCTCCCTGCCATCTCCCTGCCATCTCCCTGCCATCTCCCTGCCATCTCCCTGCCATCTCCCTGCCATCTCCCTCTCATCTCCCTCTCATCTCCCTCTCATCTCCCTCTCATCTCCCTCTCATCTCCCTCTCATCTCCCTCTCATCTCCCTCTCATCTCTCTCATCTCCCTCTCATCTCCCTCTTATCTCCCTCTCATCTCCCTCTCATCTCCCTCTCATCTCCCTCTCATCTCCCTCTCATCTCCCTCTCATCTCCCACTCATCTCCCTCTCATCTCCCTCTCATCTCACTCTCATCTCCCTCTAATCTCCCTCTTATCTCCCTCTCATCTCCCTCTCATCTCCCTCTCATCTCCCTCTCATCTCCCTCTCATCTCCCTCTCATCTCCCTGCCATCTCCCTGCCATCTCCCTACCATCTCCCTGCCATCTCCCTCTCATCTACCTCTCACCTTCCTGCCACCTCCCTGCCACCTCCCTGCCACCTCCCTGTCACCTCCCTGCCATCTCCCTGCCATCTCCCTCTCATCTCCCTCTCATCTCCCTCTCATCTCCCTCTCATCTCCCTCTCATCTCCCTCTCATCTCCCTCTCATCTCCCTCTCATCTCCCTCTCATCTCCCTCTCATCTCCCTCTCATCTCCCTCTCATCTCCCTCTCATCTCCCTCTCATCTCCCTGCCATCTCCCTGCCATCTCCCTGCCATCTCCCTGCCATCTCCCTGCCATCTCCCAGCCATCTGCCTGCCATCTCCCTGCCATCTCCCTGCCATCTCCCTGCCATCTCCCTCTCATCTCCCTGCCATCTCCCTGCCATCTCCCTGCCATCTCCCTGCCATCTCCCTGCCATCTCCCTCTCATCTCCCTCTCATCTCCCTCTCATCTCCCTCTCATCTCCCTCTCATCTCCCTCTCATCTCCCTCTCATCTCCCTCTCATCTCCCTCTCATCTCCCTCTCATCTCCCTCTCACCTCCCTCTCATCTCCCTCTCATCTCCCTCTCATCTCCCTCTCATCTCCCTCTCATCTCCCTCTCATCTCCCTCTCACCTCCCTGCCATCTCCCTGCCATCTCCCTGCCATCTCCCTGCCATCTCCCTGCCATCTCCCTCTCATCTCCCTCTCATCTCCCTCTCATCTCCCTCTCATCTCCCTGTCACCTCCCTGTCACCTCCCTGTCATCTCCCTGCCATCTCCTCACCTGCTCCACCATGCGGGGGACCACTGCTTGCGTAAAAGCTAGCAGCCCAACAACGTTGGTCTCCATGCTGCTTCGGAATTCATCCAGAGGCACGACCAAGAGGCATCTCCACTGTAAGTTGAGCCATCGCCTCACCTGCTCCACCATGTGGGGGACCACCACTTGTGTAACAGCTAACAACCCAACAACGTTGGTCTCCATGTTGCCTCGAAACGCATCCAGAGGCATCTCCGCCATGGGGCCAAAGCACCCCGCGCCTGCGTTGTTCACTAGAATGTCTATCTTGCCCGCCTGCACACATGAGCAAGAGGACAGGTAGATAGAACGGTCTTTTTGCTCTTGAGCCGCCTCAAGCGCGTCCAGAGGCATCTCCGCCATGGGACCAAATCACCCCGCGCCTTCGTTGTTCACCAGACTGTCTATCCTGCCCGCCTGGGCAGGTAGGAAAAGAACGGGAGGGAGAGACGGAAAGGAGAGAGAGAGAAGCACAATTCTCCTTGGGGACCTCGACGGATTCAAAGACTAGGAGAGGAATAGCTTGCACAATGAGAAAATATTTTCCTCAACAAATCGCTCAAAACACACCTGTGATGTAATTCAAAATGCTTAAAAAAAAAAAAACAAACAAACAAACAAACGCCTTGGATATGACTGTGCTGACGGCTCCCTGAATGGATGCAGTGGACGTCACGTCTAGCTGCTGCTGCACCGTCTCAATCTAAATGGAGGCAGCTGATGCTGTATCAACTTGGCCACTTGCAGTTCAAACGTCACCTTGGATATGGTTGTGCTGACGGCTTCCTGAATGGACGCAGTGGACGTCCCATATAGCTGCACTGTCTCGATTCAAACGTCACCTTGTGTTATTAGCTTCCTGAATGGAAGCAGTGGGGACGTTGCATCAAGCCGCACAGTTTCGATTCAAACTCACCTTGGATATGATTGTGCTGACGGCTTCCTGAATGGACGCAGTGGACGTCACGTCTAGCTGGACCGTGTCAATTCCCAACCCTGGGAAGGAGCAGGGGAGAAGAGGCAAGGAGAGGGAGGGACAACACGACAGAGTGCGAAGAGTCTATTTTTGAGGCGCCTCAAAAACAGAAGCAGGGGAGAAGAGACAAGGAGAGGGAGGGACGGCAGGACAGAGTGCGAGGAAAGGAAGGAGAGGCATGTAATATGAAGGGAGGCATGTACTCTGAAGGGAGGCATGTAATCTGAAGGGAGGCATGTAATCTGATGGCATTTAATCTGTAGGGAGGCATGTAATCTGAAGGGAGGCATGTAATCTGAAGGGAGGCATGCAATCTGAAGGGAGGCATGCAATCTGAAGGGAGGCATGCAATCTGAAGGGAGGCATGCAATCTGAAGGGAGGCATGCAATCTGAAGGGAGGCATGCAATCTGAAGGGAGGCATGCAATCTGAAGGGAGGCATGCAATCTGAAAGGAGGCATGCAATCTGAAGGGAGGCATGCAATCTGAAGGGAGGCATGTAATTTGATTCGTGAGCAGTCGCATGCGAGATCCTGCACAAGGTTTGCGTAAACCAGATGAACTGGAAGCGAGCGGACAGACCAAACACAAGGTTTTGAGTTGTACTATGCACGAAAACATACGCGACAGAAACACATTAACCAAATACACACCCGAGGGGTGCGATTGTGAGCTGGGGGGTTTCTGAAAGGCTATGCGACGACAGAACCAAACCAACGACGGAACAAGCAGAGCCTTTCCCCCGCCACACCAAGATCCAAAGCTTTTGCTTTTTACTCTGTACTCAGTGGACATGGCTCCTTCCCCGCCAATCTCACTCGCGAACACGGTGCTTACCTCCACCCCAGGTGGAAAAATGTGGCTTAGTAGTAGCGAAACCGCGTTCCCGTAACACTAACAGCTATTTCGCACCAAATCACGCCCCCGCGCCGCATGCTAGTCCCTCACCAGCACGCAACACAAGCAGTCTAGGGCGCGCTACGCGAAGACCTGAAGAGCGAGGCCAAAGGGTTCTCCTCGCCAGCGCGCCAAGCACCTCACTCGCTGCCCGTTGCATATAGTGCGCATCTCGCTTCCCACACCTGCTTTGCGCAGCTAACACCGTGAGAGCGATGCCCGCCTTCTGCATTCCCTCTTTTCCGCCATACCCGTTGCAGCATACTATAATCGCCTCCCCTATCACCCGCATCCCGTCATACCGGAAATCCCGCCCTATCGCAGTGCCAATCCCTCCCTAACTCGTCATGTCACATCACCTAGTACCCCTCCCTTCCACGAGCTTGCCCTGTCCGCCTCTCTCCCATGCTCCCCTCTCCCGTGGTCCTCTCTCCCATGCTCCCCTCTCCCATGGTCCCCTCTCCCATGCTCCCGCTCCCCAACGCTCACCTTTCCCGTTCTCCCCTCTCCCATGTTCCCCTCTCCCGTGCCCTCTCCCTGGTGAGGGGGGATCTACGCTCTCTTTGGGGCTGGCAGGAGGGCTATGGGAGGGGGGAAGCAGGGCAACGGAAGGGGGGGAAGCAGGGCAACGGAAGGGGGGGAAGCAGGGCAATGGAAGGGGGGGAAGCAGGGAAATGGAAGGGGGGGGAGGAGGGCTATGGGAGAGGGGGAAGGAGGGGCATGGCAGCGGGAAGGGGGGCTTGGGAGGGGGGGAGAAGCAGGGGTCTGGATGGTAGGGAGGGGGGTTTTCCCTCTCTCCCTCTCTCTCAAGCGGTCCGTTTATTCCTTGGAATCCTCGGTACAGGCTAGGCAAGCGGAAGGCAACAAGGGAGAGGTACGTGCATGTTGGGGGTGCCCGAAGCTACTCGAGCTCCCCTAGGGGTTCTGTTATAGCAAAGCAGTCCCCGAGGGCCATGTCGGCGGCGGGTGTGCCCACGGGGGCGTGGGGGGCCGGGGAGGCTTCGTTCACCTTACCCAGGTAAGCCAAGGCCTGCGCTCGCTGGAGCGTCACAGACCAGCGCTGGCGGAACTGGTGGAGCAATTTAGCTGCCTGGTAGGAGCTGGGGTCAGCATTGAAGAGCCTCCTGGCACCTGTGTCTGCCAGCAGTTTCAGGAAAGTGGGGACTTCGGCGCAGGGGCAGCCGTATGTCTCGACCGCCAGTGGGAAGAAGCCCACGTAGGGAGCCCGATTTCGGTAGTGGGATATCTTTTTGTCAGCTTGCTCCCGGGCCATGTATCCTCGTCCTTTCCGTGCATCCGGGTCCCGGCTGCTGATGGGGTCAGTGACGGTGACGTCACAGATCCAGACGGCTCCGGAGCTGCGGTCGCGGAGTGCGAGGTCGGCCTTGTGCCCGTCCACGGGGCTGTAGATGGTCGTCTCTTTGGTGACTATAAAATCAGCGTCCCGGGCCATCCGGATGCTCTCATCCCGTAGGGCGTTATGGGTATCTGTCCGTCCGTGCCCCGTGCCACACCGGAGGAGGTGGTTGGGCAGCCTTGTGTCGAGGATTTCGAATTCCTCGGCGCAGTTGCAGGTGCGGGGGGCGGGGAACGGAAGGCCGAGGCGGAATGCCAGGGCAATTGCGAAGTGTGGGGCTTCGAGGCGGAGGGAAGGGAAAATTGGGATGGCATGGAGCCAGTCACCAGCTCCATATCCCGCCAGGGAAAAGAGGCGCTGTGTGTGCCCGGAGTAGGGGTTGGGGTCCATTGTCCTTGAGGCCGCCACCTGGTCGGCGTACCGCACGGCCTGGACTTCGAGGGATAGGCGGTGTTGGAGGGGGGAGCCTGAGGGTTCCCCCCGCTCAGCGTGTAGGAGCTCCAGGGCCCGAGGGGGCATCGCCGTTTCGCATTTCGCCAGCCAGGTATGCAAGTGAGTGGGGCTGGTGAAGGGGGGCGTGAGGTGGCGGACAGAGTCTGCCAGGGGCCCGGTGGATGCGGCTGGGAGGGCGGCCAGCAGGCCCTGGGCTTGGGTGACGCTGGTGAGGAAGGCTGGGAGCCCTTCGATCGCTGGGTCGGTGAGTCCCAACCCTCCGAGAGAGGGGGGGAGGGACGCTTGGGCCCAGGTGCGTACCCTTTCCAACTCGCCACGTGGAGTTTGGAGGTTGCAGGCGTGCAGTAGGGTGTGGTAGAGCTCCCTACCCCACTCGGACCAGACCTCCAGGGGTAGGAAGTCAAGGGGGGTGGTGCGGGTAAGGTATGAGACGCGCCGGGACACGCAGCGTGTGAGGAGGAGGGATGAGGACTGAGGGTCCATCGTGGCCAGCGTGGCGAGGGGTTCGGCTAGCAGGGCGAGCTGGGTGCGGAGGAAACCGGCTGTGCCTTCAGGCGTGCCTATGAAACTGCCTAGTACGCGGACCCCTTCGCCATTGAAGGGTATGTCTGGGGGCAGGCAGTTTGTCGTGGGGCGTTCGGCTGCCCACGCTGCGCATTTTGCGGGGTTGTGGGAAAGACCGATGCGTTCCATGGCGGCTGTGAAATCGTGGAACGCCGCGGTGCAGGCGTCCGGAGCGCCCACGAAGGTCACGTCGTCTGCATGGGCCAGGCAGGGAAGGGGCCCCGAACGAGAAGTGAGTGAACGGAAGGAGGGGGCGTAGGGGCGAGTTGTGGAGGGCGTGGATGATGGCCCCGCGGTCGACGCTGTGGAAAGGTCAACTTGCAAGATTAGTGAGTCCGGGCGCGCGGAGGTGAAACTCCGGGTGGCGTGGATGATGACTTCGCCTCCGCTCCTGATGGCTACCCCGAATTGGTGTGGTAGGAAATAATCTTGGGCCGGCTGCGTTGTGGAGATGAGAGCGGCTTTAGCTGCTAGTCGATGAAGACATTCGCCGACCGCTATGGGAGTGATCAGGTTTGGTAAAGGCGAGGAGGCGTGAAGACGTTAGGAGCTGGCTGATTTCGTGTGGCAGGTTACCCGCGAGAAGGCGCTGGACGAGCTCATGGAGGTGTTTGGCGACTGAGGGGTTGGATAGCGAGGCATCGCGAAGGTGCTCGAAAGTCATTCCCGAGGGCCCTGCCCCGACCCCGTTTTCGCAGCGAGAGAGCAGCTTCGCGAAGTCGGCGAAGTCGACTGTCGGCGGATTGCAGTCCTCGCCTAGCTGCGGCCAGTGGAGGTCTGCGGCGAGCGGAGGGGGGTGTTTGGACTTCAGTGCATCCAGGACTGCGGGGGTGGACTCGCTGACTGGGGTCGAAGTCAACACGAGCAGTGCCCGTCGCAAACTGCCTCGTCGTACCAGGCCCTCGGCTCGAGATATTTTCCCGAGGGTGTCAGGTACGTGGCGGGGTGGGGGTGTCAGGGTAACAGCGGAAGCAGCCGCTTGGTACAGTGTGTCCCATTGGCCTGCGAGAAATTGTCGAAGGCGAGTTTCCGTCGCGGGCCAGTCAGGGCGTCGTGGTGACGGTAGAGTAACAGAATCCAGCCCTCGATGGAGGTTGGATGTTTGGCGAGGAAAAGGAGGGGTGTCAGGAGGGCGAGCGCGAAAAGTTGGTGGATTTGGGGGGGTAACCGGCGGGAGAGAGGGGGTTGGCGACTGTCGCACAGGACTGCGATGTCCCAATTTGCGATGTCGGCGAATCGGGAGGTGTCATTCGCCATTTCTTCCGGGGACAGCTGTTGTGCTGCCTGGGGGTGGGTGTCCAGCGGTGCCCGAGTATTATGCATGCGGCTGGGCCTCGTCCCCTAGATCTGGGAGTTGGGCCAGCGTCTCTTCCTCCAGCGCGCCTGTCGACTCGACGCCTTCCTCCTCGCTGGGGGTCTCACTTGCAGATTCTTCCTGCCCCCCGGGTATATAAGTTCCGTCTGCCCGTTCCTCCTCACCAGTTGTCTTTGCAGTTCCGAAGCTCTTAAAGCCTGTTCGCTGCCTGCTGGAATCCGTTCAGCGGTCCTCCGTCGGAGGACAAATCGCCGTGCCGAGCCGTCCCGCGACCGCGCCCTCCGGCCGTTCCCGTATTGAGTCTGCTGCGTCCTCTTCCGTGATTTCCTCTCGGGGCGACCCCGGTCGCCGTCCGACGTGCGTGCCGAGTCGTGGGGGGCGCCGAGTGCGGCGCGCACTTCGGGATGGAGCGACCTGATCGTGAGCGATCTGTCGATTTGGAGAGCACTGGGGATAGTGCCTCCCCCAAGGTCGGCGAGCTCGCCGGCACGGTCAAACCGTGATTGGGAGCGCGGGCTCCTCGTCCCCTCGACGGCTCCTCAGCAGACTCCCGAGCGGATGCGTGGGCAGTCGCGGGGTCGATCGGCCGTGCCCAGAGGCACGAGGAGAAGTCTCCCGAGCGCTTCTTGGAGACCGGTTGTATACCCGTGGCGCATGGCGGGGTGCATCAGTCGCCGCGCCAGCAACATCCCTCACGCCAAGGGACGCCACAGCGCTGTCACAGGCTGTGCCGGTGCAGCAGCGCCGGACTCCCCAGGCGCCGCGGGGCGTTCTGGCCAGCGCGTCGGTTGGAGGGCCGGCGGGGGAGTAACCGCGGATCAGCAGCGGAGAGGCGCCTTGGGCGGGCTGCCGCGACTCTCGAGGGCTTGGTGCGCGCTGTCGCCCAGCCCCAGCAGGCTCCGGCGTATGCCCCGCTGCTTCCGTCGTCGCAGCAGCACCAGCAGGCTCACCAGCAGCCCGCGCGTTTCCCCCTGCCTCAGGTGCCGGCGCTGGTGTTCCCTCAGTGCGCCGTGACGTCCCCCCTGCTCCTCGACCACCAGTATCTCGTGCCGCCCCTTCTGTCTGCCCCTCCACCGCGATCCTCCCCTCTGCCGGTCCCTACGATCCGCGTCAGTTAAACGTGCGGTCCGCGGAGACACTGCCGCCCTGGCAGCCAACGCCCTGGATGCATCGGTGGTAGGATGGCCCCCCGGCCGCCGCCGTCGGTGGCACCAGCGTCGTTCGGCGAACGGGCGACAGCGCCCTTTGTTCCCCCTCGTCGCGCGCTGGCGTCGCTGACTGGAGTTGAGGGGGGGGCAGAAGCAGCGGAGATGGGGGGGGCTGAGTCCACCGGTGAGGACTCGCCTCCTGGGGGCCGGGGGCGGCGTCGCTCGGGTGGGCTGCGGATGCCGCCGAGGGCGCAGCTGGAGCGCCTGCGGGGGAGGGAGCGGCTGGCGGAGACCGCGATTCCAGTCGCCACGCTTCGTCGGCTCTGGCACGCGCAGCGGGCGATGGGGTATGCAGTGGAGATGTTGACGGACTCACACTCCGTTCTACGGAGCTCAGTGAGCCCGTGCAAGATGCCTCATGATCCACTCCACCGCTGCGCGATGGCTGCAGCAAATCTGGCTGTCGTGTCAACGCGAGTGCAGCCTGCGCCCGCCTTGGGAACCGTGTTGGACCCATGCCTGCTCGCCGTGATGCGGACAGTATCGCGAGCGTAGACTCGGCTGCAGCTGTAGACATCGTTGGCGGTGCCGTGTCAGCGCTGATGCTCCTGGGGGATTACGTGAAGGCCCTGCTTGAGGAGGCTGGAGCGGACCAAGCCGCATGACGGGCTCTCGTCGTTTGTAGGTCCTTGTTGGTGAAGTGCGCCCTAGCGTGAGCGCTCTGGTAAGCTCTGTGAGGCTCTCCATGGTTGTTTGCGGAGTGTAGTGTTGGCAGGTTGTAGACCCCAGATGTGTGTACTTGCTGTTGTCGTAGTTGCCCTTGAAGCCGTGTGTTATTGCCGCCCTCACGCGCGGCCGAAGCCGCCGACGCGAGCCGCCACCAAGGGTGGGAGAAAAGAAAGAACTGAAAACTAAACAGGAAGAATGAGCTAGGGAGAGAGCTTAAATAGCTTGGGAGGGACTCATGCTCTCTCTCTCTCTCTCGCTCTCTCTCTCCTCTCTCGCCACCAAGGGTGGGAGAAAAGAAAGAACTGAAAACTAAACAGGAAGAATGAGCTAGAGAGAGAGCTTAAATAGCTAGGGAGGGACTCATGCTCTCTCTCTCCTCTCTCGCCACCAAGGGTGGGAGAAAAGAAAGAACTGAAAACTAAACAGGAAGAATGAGCTAGGGAGAGAGCTTAAATAGCTAGGGAGGGACTCATGCTCTCTCTCTCTCTCTCTCTCTCTCTCTCTCTCTCTCTCTCTCTCTCTCTCTCTCTCTCTCTCTCTCTCTCTCTCTCTCTCTCTCTCTCTCTCTCTCTCTCTCTCTCTCTCTCAAGCGGTCCTGGACATTGAATAATCCTGGGTACAAGCTACAGTGGCGAGCAAGTAAGGGTACAGCGACGTACTCCAAACAGTCAGCAAGCATGTAGGCCACTTACGCGTAGACCGCCCTCCTGCCCCTATGAGCCCGAGGTCCTCCAGCCGGCACCGGCCGAGCCCCTCCCTTCTTCCCCCCCCCCCCCCCCTGCAGCTAGACCGCCACCTCCTCGTCTAGGGTCGCGTAGACATCCCCCAGGTAGGGCGCCCAAGGGTCGGCCAAAGGTTGGGGGTAAGCTGCCTCTACCGCCATCCCAGATCGGGTGATGAGTGTGCATGCCTGTATGCGTTGCAGCAGCACCGACCACCGCTGTCGGAGGTGAGAGGTAAGCTTCATGGCTGGCGGGGGTTGACAGGTGAGGGATAAGCGGGGTACCGAACCAACGCCGAGTGCTCAGCCAGTAGGCGGCAGAACTCGACGGTGGACGGGGCCAGCGCCCCGTAGGTCTCCACGGCGAGAGCGAAAAAGCCCACATAGTCGGTCCGGTCCTCGTAGTCATGGTCCTTGGCCCAGGCTGCCTCGCGGGCTGCCCAGCCGGGCTGGCCGCCGGCGTCCTGGTCGCGCCGCTGCAGGACCGGGTCCGTGACAGTCGCGTCCGTCAACCAAGTGGCTCCACTTTCCACATCCCGTATGGCCAGGTCGGCCCTCTTTCGATTGGTGGGGGTGGTGAAGCAGACCGTCTCATGGTAGGTCATGAATTTCGCCTCCCGGGCCATTCGGAGGGCGGCGTATACGAGGGCGTCATGCAGGCGCTTGACATCCCCCCCGGGCTTGCAGCGGAGTAGGTGGTTTGGCAGGCTCGGGTCGTGGATGTTTTTGCCGCATGAGCACCCGCTGGGGATGGGGAGCGGCAGGCCTAGGCGGAAGGCGAGGGCGGCTCCGAAATGGCCGGTGCTGAGGGAGAGTTCCTCTCTCTCTACCTCCCTCTCTCTCTCTCTCTCTCTCTCTCTCTCTCTCTCTCTCTCTCTCTCTCTCTCCCTCTCTCTCTCTCTCTCTACCCACCTGTCTCTTTACCCACCTGTCTAACTCTCGTGTTGCCCCCTTTACAGTGTTCTTGCTCAGCAAACTTCGCATTCTAGCACATGACCACAACTCCCCCCCTTCCCCCCCCCCTCCCCCCCCCCCCGCTCTTTCCCCCTTTGCGGCCCGCCCTGCTCCTCGGTCCTGCCTGTGTGCGCGTGCCCGCCTCCCCTGCTGAGCGCCGTGCAGAACAATATGCAGCAACTGGTTCTACGGCACTTTGGCATGCGGCCAAACTCTCCCCCCCCCCCCCCTCCTCCCCCCTTGCCCGCCCTCCCCTGCTGAGCGCCGTGCAGAAGAATCTGCAACAACTGGTTCTACGGCACCATCCCAGCCACCATCTCCAAGCTCACACAGTTATCGTTTCTGTAAGTTACCTCCCATCCGAGCTGACTTTTGAGTCGGCACCTTTTGATTCGGCACCTTTTGAGTCGACAACTGGTTCTATGGCACCGTCCCAGCCACCATCTCCGGGCTCACAGGGTTATCGTTACTGTAAGTGCCCTCCCACCCTCGCCCGTGCCCTCCCACCCTCGCCCGTGCTCTCCCACACTCGCCCGCGCCCTCCCATCCTCCAACTCCTCTTCCTCCCTCTCCCCTCTCCCCTCTCCCCTCTCCCCTCTCCCCTCTCCCCTCTCCCCTCTCCCCTTCTCCCCTCTACCCTCTCCCCTCTCCCCTCTCCCCTCCCACCCTCTCCCCATCCCAGAGCCCTCCTCACCAACTACCTCGTCGGTACCATCCCGCCGCTGCCCGCGACCCTGCAGCACATCGACGTCCAGAACAACTTCCTCACCGGCCCCTTCCCCTCGCCCGTGCTCTCCAATACCACATCCCTCTCCACTCCCCTGCACCCCCTTCTCCCCCCTTCTCCCCTCTACCCTCTCCCCTCTCCCCTCCCACCCTAAGTGGAGAAATACGCTTGGGCAGCCTAGCGTATTGCGTATATACGCTAGCGTATAATACGAATACGCTGTACGCTAGCTAAGTACGCAATACGCTAGCGTATTTGTTGACGGGCAGCCCGGCAAGAAATACGCAAAAAAAGATGCTACAAATTTGCGACATGGCAAAACCCCACAGGGATTTCGCCATGTCGCAAACCGAAATTTGGCTTTTGAAATCAACCCAACTCCTTTTCCCCTCCCAACCGCACAGCATCCCACCCAATCTGCGACTTCCAAACAACACCCAAAGAAATCTCCTTCCTCTCCCTCTCTACTCTACTCCAGCAGGGTTTAGCGCAGTTCACTCCTACGACGAAATCAGGGTACAAGTAAACTGGCGCGCTAACTTCAGCCATTTCTTCTTCCAAGCTAGCGCGACCAGCTAGCTTGTTTTTTAGAGACTGCTGCTATGTCGACCCCTCCACCTAGTCCTGGTTCCCACGGAAACGACGCGGGAACCTCCCGTACTGCGTCTTCCTCTGGAGAGCTCCTGGAGAACTCCACCCACACTGTCTTTAAGCATTTCAAGTTTAAGCATAAGGAGCACGGCAAGCAGCAAAAGTATTGGTGCAAGTAGTGCCCCGTATCCTTTACTGGGACGGCCTACCGCTGCGCGCAGCACATCACTAGTTGGGATGGTATGCGTAGGCGCGAGGTTCGAAAATGCGAGGAGGTAGGGAAGGAGGAGCAGGCTGCTGTCCGCGCGTTCCAAACCGCCAAAGTGCTCGCGAGGGAGGAGGCGCTTAGGGCGGAGGAGTCGGCCCTTGAAGATTGCCACGGTGTGACGATTGCCAGCGACATGATGACCGACAAGTGTGGCAGGCCGCAGGCGAATGTGATGCTGGTCAATGACACTGGCGCAGTGTTCGTCGAGAGTATTGACTGCAAGATGGAGAAAAAGACCGGGGGATACATCGCCCGGCTCCTCCGGCCCATCCTACAAATGGTTGGGGTCGAGAATATCGTGGCGTTCTGCACCGATGGTGGCAGCAACTACCACAGCGCCTGCCGGCTCCTCATTGCAGAGAATCCGCGCATCGAGCATGTGCCGTGTGCGACGCACGTGCTCGATCTCCTTATGGAGGATGTGGGGCGGCAGGCTTGGGCCAAGGAGGTAGTGGGGCGGGCGAGCGAGCTCATCAACTACACCCGCAGCGACCATTGGACCCGACAGTATCTCAGGGGTGTGGACGGAGGGAAGGGGCTGCAGATGCTGAGGCCGGCGGGGACCAGGTTTGGGACGCAGCACATTGCTGTGTCCCGCCTGGTGGAGTTGCGGTCAACACTGGTGACCATGGTGCTCTGCAATGCATGGAAGGCGGAGTGGGCGGTGGGCCCAAAGAAGGCAGCTGCAGAGACATTCCACGACCAGATCATGGATAAGGACTGGTGGCCGGCGGCTGAGCTCTTCAAGAGGCTGCTCCTGCTCCCGTTCAAGGCCATGAGGATGACGGATTCGGCAACGAAGGGGATGATGGGCCGCATCTATGAGCTGATGCTTGAGCTCACTGTGAATGTGGCAGAACTGCTGAAGGAGGAGGGGGATGGGGTGCTGAGTGCGGGAGACAAGAAGGGCATCAATGAGATTGTGAAGCGGCGTTGGGATGGGAGTATGGCTTGCCCACTGCACGTGGTCGGGCGGATTCTTAACCCGGCCAACCAGGAGGAGCGGATTTTGGGCCGGACACGGAGTGCACCGATGTGTTCAAGGCTTTCATTGCCCGCCACTATGGGGGGGTGATGATTCCCCAGAGGGATGGCCTGCCCAAGCGTGCCACACTCCTCCTGCAGGAAGGGTTGGCCGCCTTTCTGAAGTTGAGGGGCAGCTTCGGCACGGCTGAGGCCATCAGTGACTGGAAGTTGGTGAAGGAGGGAAGTTATTCCATGGAGGCGTGGTGGGAGTGGCACGGCACTGACCACCCCTTGCTCATGGCCCTTGCTTGCCGTGTGCTAACTCAGCCGGTGTCCGCATCCAGCTGCGAGCGCAACTGGGCGGTGTGGGATACTGTCCACACCGCCCGACGCAACCGGCTGGGTTCAGAAAAGTGCAAGGATCTGGTTTACGTTGCGCACAACTGGAAGGTTGTGCACAACTGGCACATGGCCGACGAGGGGGCGGGGGTGGTGTCCGGGAACATCCCGGACGCCCCCGTCCCTGTGGGGTACAGGGTGGATCGGGAGGAGGAGGATGAGGAGGGCGAAGATGAGGAGCTGCTGGACGAGTACCTGTAGAGCAGAGCAGGAGAGGGTTAGGCGGGTGGTTTGGGGGAGGCTTACCTGAGATGGGTGAGTGGCTGGTTGTTGGAGGAGTTTGGAACCCTTGACATGGCCTTGGTGGCTTGAACTATTTATTTATTACCATGCTAAATGATGCCACATTTGGTGGGGGGAATTTGGTGCTCTGCACCCCCCCTCTTCCCTCCCCAAACAGGTTTTTTTTACACCTGCCCGAGTTTTTTTTAGACCTGCCCGCCAGAGCGTATTTCCTAGCGTATCCAATCCCGGAATCAAGCGTACAGCGTATATACGCTAGCGTATAATACGCTGTACGCGTATTTCTCCACTTAGCTCCCACCCTCTCCCCATCCCAGAGCCCTCCTCACCAACTATCTCGTCGGTACCATCCCGCCGCTGCCCGCGACCCTGCAGCACATCGACATCCAGAACAACTTCCTCACCGGCCCCTTCCCCTCGCCCGTGCTCTCCAATACCACATCCCTCTCCACTCCCCTGCACCCCCTTCTCCCCCCTTCTCCCCTCTACCCTCTCCCCTCTCCCCATCCCAGATCCCTCCTCACCAACTACCTCGTCGGTACCATCCCGCCGCTGCCCGCGACCCTGCAGCACATCGACATCCAGAACAACTTCCTCACCGGCCCCTTCCCCTCGCTCGTGCTCTCCAATACCACATCCCTCTCCACTCCCCTGCACCCCCTTCTCCCCCCTTCTCCCCTCTACCCTCTCCCCTCTCCCCTCCCACCCTCTCCCCATCCCAGATCCCTCCTCACCAACTACCTCGTCGGTACCATCCCGCCGCTGCCCGCGACCCTGCAGCACATCAACGTCCAGAACAACTTCCTCACCGGCCCCTTGCCCTCGCCCGTGCTCTCCAATACCACATCCCTCTCCACTCCCCTGCACCCCCTTCTCCCCCCTTCTCCCCTCTACCCTCTCCCCTCTCCCCTCTCCCCATCCCAGAGCCCTCCTCACCAACTACCTCGTCGGTACCATCCCGCCGCTGCCCGCGACCCTGCAGCACATCGACGTCCAGAGCAACTTCCTCACGGGCCCCTTCCCCTTCTCCGCGCCCACCCTCTTGTGCTCCAAGAACTGCTTCACTGACAACATCCCCACCTGCCTCCCCTCTACCCAGCGCCCCGCCGCCGACTGCGCGTTCTGCGGGGGGGCGGGGGCGGCGGGCATGTGCCGGGGGTATCTTGAGGGGTGCATGCCGGACACCACAGGGGTGGTTGGCCCCAATGTGTGGGCCTCGCCGCTGCTCCCACAGTTCTGTGCAGCGGTCCCGATTCTCCCTGCTGCTCAGTGTGAGTGCTTGAGGCGCCTCAAAACTAGACTTCTCTTCTGTGCAGCGGTCACCATTCTCCCTGCTGCTCACTGTGAGTGCTTGAGGCGCCTCAAAACTAGACTTCTCTTCTGTGCAGCGGTCACCATTCTCCCTGCTGCTCACTGTGAGTGCTTGAGGCGCCTCAAAACTAGACTTCTCTTCTGTGCAGCGGTCACCATTCTCCCTGCTGCTCACTGTGAGTGCTTGAGGCGCCTCAAAACTAGACTTCTCTTCTGTGCAGCGGTCACCATTCTCCCTGCTGCTCACTGTGAGTGCTTGAGGCGCCTCAAAACTAGACTTCTCTTCTGTGCAGCGGTCACCATTCTCCCTGCTGCTCACTGTGAGTGCTTGAGGCGCCTCAAAACTAGACTTCTCTTCTGTGCAGCGGTCACCATTCTCCCTGCTGCTCACTGTGAGTGCTTGAGGCGCCTCAAAACTAGACTTCTCTTCTGTGCAGCGGTCACCATTCTCCCTGCTGCTCACTGTGAGTGCTTGAGGCGCCTCAAAACTAGACTTCTCTTCTGTGCAGCGGTCACCATTCTCCCTGCTGCTCACTGTGAGTGCTTGAGGCGCCTCAAAACTAGACTTCTCTTCTGTGCAGCGGTCACCATTCTCCCTGCTGCTCACTGTGAGTGCTTGAGGCGCCTCAAAACTAGTCTTCTCTTCTGTGCAGCGGTCACCATTCTCCCTGCTGCTCACTGTGAGTGCTTGAGGCGCCTCAAAACTAGACTTCTCTTCTGTGCAGCGGTCACCATTCTCCCTGCTGCTCACTGTGAGTGCTTGAGGCGCCTCAAAACTAGACTTCTCTTCTGTGCAGCGGTCACCATTCTCCCTGCTGCTCACTGTGAGTGCTCGGGTTGGGTCTGCCCATCTTTGCGTGACGTGGGGTGGGGTGTGTATCAGGGATTATACGGCTCATGCCCTCTTATCCCCACTCTCACCCCCTCTCATCTCTCCTCATCTCCCCTCATCGCCCCTCATCTCCCCTCATCTCCTCTCATCTCCCCTCATCTCCTCTCTAACCCTCTCTAATCCTCTCTAATCCTCTCTCTCTCAACCCCACATCCCATCCTGCCTCCATCCTGCAGACTCGCAAGTCATCTCCGGGCGTGCTGGACACTAGCTGGATGGGCACAGGAAAATGCCTGCCTCAAGCCTCGGCTCTCATCCCTCCTCATCCCTCCTCATCCCTCCTCATCGCCGCTCATTCCAGCCCGCCCCCTCTCTGTTACCCGCCCATCCCATGCAGCTTCTGTGCTGATGGCGCTCAAGTCGTCGCTCGGTGTGACGGACTCCACCTGGGGGGCCACGGGGAAGTGCACAGGGGAGAAGGCCACCCAGGCCTCCCCCTACTGGTCTGGCGTCAGATGTGCGGATGATGGCTCTGTTGTGAGCATGTGAGTCGGTGGTAACACTGTCACTAAACATGTGAGTCGGTGGTAACACTGTCACTAAACATGTGAGTCGGTGGTAACACTGTCACTAAACATGTGAGTCGGTGGTAACACTGTCACTAAACATGTGAGTCGGTGGTAACACTGTCACTAAACATGTGAGTCGGTGGTAACACTGTCACTAAACATGTGAGTCGGTGGTAACACTGTCACTAAACATGTGAGTCGGTGGTAACACTGTCACTAAACATGTGAGTCGGTGGTAACACTGTCACTAAACATGTGAGTCGGTGGTAACACTGTCACTAAACATGTGAGTCGGTGGTAACACTGTCACTAAACATGTGAGTCGGTGGTAACACTGTCACTAAACATGTGAGTCGGTGGTAACACTGTCACTAAACATGTGAGTCGGTGGTAACACTGTCACTAAACATGTGAGTCGGTGGTAACACTGTCACTAAACATGTGAGTCGGTGGTAACACTGTCACTAAACATGTGAGTCGGTGGTAACACTGTCACTAAACATGTGAGTCGGTGGTAACACTGTCACTTAACATGTGAGTCGGTGGTAACACTGTCACTAAACATGTGAGTCGGTGGTAACACTGTCACTAAACATGTGAGTCGGTGGTAACACTGTCACTAAACATGTGAGTCGGTGGTAACACTGTCACTAAACATGTGAGTCTGTGGTAACACTGTCACTAAACATGTGAGTCGGTGGTAACACTGTCACTAAACATGTGAGTCGGTGGTAACACTGTCACTAAACATGTGAGTCGGTGGTAACACTGTCACTAAACATGTGAGTCTCTGGTAACACTGTCACTTAACATGTGAGTCGGTGGTAACACTGTCACTAAACATGTGAGTCGGTGGTAACACTGTCACTAAACATGTGAGTCGGTGGTAACACTGTCACTAAACATGTGAGTCGGTGGTAACACTGTCACTAAACATGTGAGTCGGTGGTAACACTGTCACTAAACATGTGAGTCGGTGGTAACACTGTCACTAAACATGTGAGTCGGTGGTAACACTGTCACTAAACATGTGAGTCGGTGGTAACACTGTCACTAAACATGTGAGTCGGTGGTAACACTGTCACTAAACATGTGAGTCGGTGGTAACACTGTCACTAAACATGTGAGTTAAGGAAGAGGAAGGGATGACGAGAGATGAAGGGATGACGAGAGATGAAGGGATGAAGAGAGATGAAGGGATGAAGAGAGATGAAGGGATGAAGAGAGATGAAGGGATGACGAGAGATGAAGGGATGACGAGAGATGAAGGGATGACGAGAGACGACTCTAAGAGTTTTTTTAGAATAGGCTGATGAATCACCCTTGGCTCTCACCGCCCTTGGCTCCCACCGCCCTTGGCTCTCACCTCCCTCTACCCGTTGCTCCCCTTGTTTGCCCTCCATCTCTCCATCTCTCTCCTCCCTTATCTTGTCCTCCCCGTCCTCCCCGTCCTCCCCGTCCTCCCCGTCCTCCCCGTCCTCCCTGTGCGCCCCTTCGTTGCCTTGTCAACAGCGCCCTGCTCAACCGAGGCCTCAAGGGAGCCCTGGACTCCTTCATCTCCGTCCTCTCCACGCTCACTTCCCTGTACGCCCTTCTCACACCTTCTTGTTATGAGCCGTCTCAAATCAAGATTACATTCGCACCTCTCAGCACTCACTTCCCTGTACGCCCTTGTCACACCTTCCTCCCCCCCCCCCCCCACCCCCATCACCGCACCCACTCTCTATTCCCCTGCCCCATTGGCCGTCTCCCTGTCTCTACTCTCGGCTTACGTCTCCAGTCTCTCTTTGCCTCATACCCACTGCCGTGCTCCTGGTCTGTTCTCGTCCCCAGCTTCTCCCATCCGTGCTTAAGAAGTTTAGTTTTGAGACGTCTCAAAAATAATCTGGTCCCTAGCTCCTCCCATCCCGCCCTTGTACACAAGTTTCTGTCTACCTCCCTCCCCCACCCCGTCCCCCTACGGTGACCTCAGCACCAACCTCCCATCCCTCCCCTCCCCACAACCTTCCCTATCCCACCCCCCCACCCCCCTCGGACACACAGTGACCTGAGTTCCAACTTCTTCAATGAGCCCGTGTACACAAGACTGTCTACCTCCCATCCCTCCCAACCTTGTCTACTCCCCCCCCTCCCCTCCTCCCCCCCCCCCCCGACAGCGACCTGAGTTCCAACCTACTCAATCAGCCGTTGCACAGCTTCCTCTCGGGCCTCTCTTCCCTCACCTTTCTAAAGCAGCTGTACGTGGCTAGTTTCAAGCAGCTGTCCGCGGCTAGTTTCAAGCAGCTGTCCGTGGCTGGTTTCAAGCAGCTGTACGTGGCTCGTTTCAAGCAGCTGTACGTGGCTCGTTTCAAGCAGCTGTACGTGGCTGGCTAGTTTCAAGCAGCTGTACGTGGCTAGGTTCAAGCAGCTGTACGTGGCTAGTTTCAAGCAGCTGTACGTGGCTAGTTTCAAGCAGCTGTACGTGGCTAGTTTCAAGCAGCTGTACGTGGCTAGTTTCAAGCAGCTGTACGTGGGTAGTTTCAAGCAGCTGTACGTGGCTAGTTTCAAGCAGCTGTACGTGGGTAGTTTCAAGCAGCTGTACGTGGCTAGTTTCAAGCAGCTGTACTGTACGTGGCTCGTTTCAAGCAGCTGTACGTGGCTGGCTAGTTTCAAGCAGCTGTACGTGGCTAGGTTCAAGCAGCTGTACGTGGCTAGTTTCAAGCAGCTGTACGTGGCTAGTTTCAAGCAGCTGTACGTGGGTAGTTTCAAGCAGCTGTACGTGGGTAGTTTCAAGCAGCTGTACGTGGCTAGTTTCAAGCAGCTGTACTGTACGTGGCTCGTTTCAAGCAGCTGTACGTGGCTGGCTAGTTTCAAGCAGCTGTACGTGGCTAGGTTCAAGCAGCTGTGCGTGGCTCGTTTCAAGCAGCTGTACTGTACGTGGCTCGTTTCAAGCAGCTGTACGTGGCTGGCTAGTTTCAAGCAGCTGTACGTGGCTAGTTTCAAGCAGCTGTGCGTGGCTCGTTTCAAGCAGCTGTGCGTGGCTCGTTTCAAGCAGCTGTGCGTGGCTCGTTTCAAGCAGCTGTGCGTGGCTCGTTTCAAGCAGCTGTGCGTGGCTCGTTTCAAGCAGCTGTGCATGGCTCGTTTCAAGCAGCTGTGCATGGCTCGTTTCAAGCAGCTGTGCATGGCTCGTTTCAAGCAGCTGTGCATGGCTCGTTTCAAGCAGCTGTGCATGGCTCGTTTCAAGCAGCTGTGCATGGCTCGTTTCAAGCAGCTGTGCATGGCTCGTTTCAAGCAGCTGTGCATGGCTCGTTTCAAGCAGCTGTGCATGGCTCGTTTCAAGCAGCTGTGCATGGCTCGTTTCAAGCAGCTGTGCATGGCTCGTTTCAAGCAGCTGTGCATGGCTCGTTTCAAGCAGCTGTGCATGGCTCGTTTCAAGCAGCTGTACGTGGCTAGGTTCAAGCAGCTGTACGTGGCTAGTTTCAAGCAGCTGTACGTGGCTAGTTTCAAGCAGCTGTACGTGGGTAGTTTCAAGCAGCTGTACGTGGCTAGTTTCAAGCAGGTGTACGTGGCTAGTTTCAAGCAACTGTACGTGGCTAGTTTCAAGCAGCTGTACGTGGCTAGTTTCAAGCAGCTGTACGTGGGTAGTTTCAAGCAGCTGTACGTGGGTAGTTTCAAGCAGCTGTACGTGGCTAGTTTCAAGCAGCTGTACTGTACGTGGCTCGTTTCAAGCAGCTGTACGTGGCTGGCTAGTTTCAAGCAGCTGTACGTGGCTAGGTTCAAGCAGCTGTGCGTGGCTCGTTTCAAGCAGCTGTACTGTACGTGGCTCGTTTCAAGCAGCTGTACGTGGCTGGCTAGTTTCAAGCAGCTGTACGTGGCTAGTTTCAAGCAGCTGTGCGTGGCTCGTTTCAAGCAGCTGTGCGTGGCTCGTTTCAAGCAGCTGTGCGTGGCTCGTTTCAAGCAGCTGTGCGTGGCTCGTTTCAAGCAGCTGTGCGTGGCTCGTTTCAAGCAGCTGTGCATGGCTCGTTTCAAGCAGCTGTGCATGGCTCGTTTCAAGCAGCTGTGCATGGCTCGTTTCAAGCAGCTGTGCATGGCTCGTTTCAAGCAGCTGTGCATGGCTCGTTTCAAGCAGCTGTGCATGGCTCGTTTCAAGCAGCTGTGCATGGCTCGTTTCAAGCAGCTGTGCATGGCTCGTTTCAAGCAGCTGTGCATGGCTCGTTTCAAGCAGCTGTGCATGGCTCGTTTCAAGCAGCTGTGCATGGCTCGTTTCAAGCAGCTGTGCATGGCTCAGGGTTTTCTAGTACCCTGAAAACTCACCTGCAAACCCGCCCTCACGCGGCTAAAGCAGAATGTACTTGGTTTGATTTGCGCAGCTATATGCTCCTCGTTTCAATTCAAGCAAGGTCGGTTGTAGCAGGCTACTCTCGCTGCTTCCCCCACCCGTGCAGTGCAGGCTGCTCGGCTACAACTGCTTCTGCAGCACGATTGGAGTCAGTTTCCAGATCTGTCACCAACAAAGAACTCCAATCTCACTCATTGCAAGCTAACTTCCTTCTCACTCTCTCTCCCCTCCCTCCCCCCCCCCCCCCATCCCATTCCCCCCTTGCAGGCTGCTCGGCTACAACTGGTTCTACGGCTCAATCCCCGCCACCATCTCACAGCTCACCAGCCTCACCGGCCTGTGAGTCACTCTAGACAAACAATTTTTGAGGCGCCTCAAAAATCAACTCGTTCTATGGCACGATCCCCACCACCACCTTCTCACACCTCACCGGCCTGTGAGTGAGTCACTCTGAAGAATAAAAAAGAAAACCCGGCCTGTGAGTGAGTCACTCTGGAGAATAAAAAAGAAAACCCGGCCTGTGAGTGAGTCACTCTGGAGAATAAAAAAGAAAACCCGGCCTGTGAGTGAGTCACTCTGGAGAATTAAAAAGAAAACCCGGCCTGTGAGTGGCGCAGTGCCACTCGTGAGTGATGCGGTGACTTGTGAGTCGGCGCCGTTCCACTGCCGTCCCCACCACCTTGCGTGAGGAGTCTAGTTTTGAGGCGCCTCAAAAATAGACTCCTCGCATCGCCCCCGCCGCCACCTCCGCCTGCTCCCGCCTCGGCGCCACCCAGTGGCCCCCAGCAACGACCAGCCGGGAAGGGGGTTCGGTTCGGCTTGTGGGCGTCTCAGAAGTGCTTTTGATTTGAGTCGACTCAAAAGCGTCTCAGAAGTGCTTTTGAATCGACTCAAAAGCGTCTCAGAAATGTCCAACAAGTGCCCCAGCTCATGATGACCCCTCGCTCTCGCCCTTCCCATGTCTCCTACAGGTCCCTCTTCTCCAACTACCTGACTGGCTCGCTCCCCTCCCTGCCCTCCTCTCTCGTCGCCCTAGACGTTGCCTACAACTTCCTCTCGGGCTCCCTCCCCTCGCTCCTCTTGAACCTCAAGCTCTGTGCCGCCGAGCACAACTGCCTCACCCCCGACGCCAACTCCCCCTGCCGCTTCTTCGGCTACATCCAGCGCCCCGCAGCAGCGGCAGGTGTGGCAGGGGCGTCTGCCACAGAGCGGTGTGCGGTGTGCGGGATAGGGACGGAACATGAGGGGAGTGCGTGCTGGGATGGGGTGTGCGCCGCGACTGCGAGTCCGACGGTGGTGGCTGGAGGGCCGAATGGTCCAGCCAAAGCAGTGCTCGATCTTCAATGCACTGGTGCGTGCTCCTTGTGTTACTCTGAGGTTTCTGGGAGTATGCTCCAGTGGGGGATGGGGACGGCATTGGAGGGGAGTGCGTGCGGGGATTGGGAGTGTGCCGTGATTGCGAGTCCGACAGCGGTTCAAGGAGGTCTGAATGGGCCGGCCAAAGCAGTGCTCGATCTGCAATGCTCTGGTGTGTGGCTTATAGATAGTTATTGCAGTGCTCGTGGTACAACCACCCATGCTATGGCCTTCTTTACTTACCTTGCTCTGTGAAAAAAATCTGTGTTGCCTCTTACTTGCCGGCTTCTCTCCCTTCCACCCCTTTATTCGGTACTCCTTGCCTTACTTCCTTTCATTCCTCTCTCCTCCCCATCCTTCCTGCTACTTACTCCATGCAGGCAACACTGAAGCCTCGATGACTGATGGCACAGGTGAGCCATGCACGCATAAGAGATCATTTGTATGAGAGATGAAACCGACGCCTGAGCCTGAGTAATGGATGCTGCTTTCTCTCGAGCCTGAGTGCCCGTCCTTCTGAGCTTCTAGTCCTTTCAACCTCCTGGGCCCAACGCCTCTAGTTCAGGCAACCTCCTTTGGAGTGGCGCCCACCCCTGTGCTGTGGCACCCTGCCTGTGACCTCAACAGGCGGTTTTGACAGCTTTTGAGTGGTTTGTAACAGCTTCTGAGTCAACTCGAAAGCGGTTTGTAACAGCTTTTGAGTCGACTCGAAAGCGGTTTGTAACAGTGCACCTTCCCCTGTGCTACAAAGACCGTCTCCTCTATGCTAACAACCCCTCCCTCCTCCTGCCGTTCCTCCTTCCTTCCCTCCCCTCCTCCCCTCCCCCCCGATTGTGCAGGGTGTTTTTGAGAATTCTAAAAAACACTCTGTGCTAAAAATCCCTCCATCCTCCTGCCATTCTTCCTTCTTTCCCTCCCCCCACCTCCGCTTCCCTCCCAGTGGCCGCTCTTCTGTTTTGAGGCGCCTCAAAACTTTCCCTCCCCCCACCTCCCCTTCCCTCCCAGTGGCCGCTCTTCTGAGCCTCAAGTCGGCCCTGGGAGTGACCTCCACAACTTGGAGCAGCGCCTACCCGTGCGCCGTGCTGGGCTCTTCGGGGACCTACTGGAGTGGGATCGCGTGTGACAACCAGGGCAATGTGCTGCACCTGTGAGTCACAGCAATGTGCTGCACCTGTGAGTCACGGCAATGTGCTGCACCTGTGAGTCACGACAATGTGCTGCACCTGTGAGTCACGGCAATGGGCTGCACCTGTGAGTCACGGCAATGTGCTGCACCTGTGAGTCACGGCAATGTGCTGCACCTGTGAGTCAGCCTTTTGAGTTGAGTCAAAAGGCATCCTCGACTTAGAGCAGCGCCTACCCTTGCGCCGTGCTGGGCTCTTCGGGGACCTACTGGAGTGGGATTGCATGTGACAACCAGGGGAATGTGCTGCACATGTGCGTCTGTGGATGCGTGGTGTGAGAATGTTCTTTGAGATTTCTCAAAAACATATTCTTGTCCTGCCTGTGTGCTGCACATGTGAGTCAGTTAATGCGAGCATGCCCCATGCCCCATGCCCCATGCCCCATGCCCCATGCCCCATGCCCCACCACCTCACAGGGACCTGCCCAACTCGATGCTGAAGGGGCCCATGGCAGCCAAGATCAGCACGCTCACATCCCTGACTTCTGTGCTTCCTTTTTTCCCAATGCAAACTCACGCTGCTCCTCACTTGAAACCCTATTCTCCCATGCTTCCATGCTCCCATGCTCCCATGCATCCCCCCCATCCCACCAATCAGTGACATGCCCAATTCCAAGCTGAAGGGGTCCATGGCAGCTGAGATCAGCATGCTCACATCCCTCACTCGCATGTAAGCCGTGTAGCACCTGTGAGGCTCAATCGCGTTTACCATAAGCCATGGTACCATGTAGCGTGCTGTCTCAAGCTGTAGCTTGCCGACTCATGCTGTAGCATGCCATCTCAATGTTGTAGCATGCCATCTCAATGTTGTAGCACGCCGTCTCATGCTGTAGCACGCCGTCTCATGCTGTAGCACGCCGTCTCATGCTGTAGCATGCTGTCTCATGTTGTAGCATGCTGTCTCATGTTGTAGCATGCTGTCTCATGCTGTAGCATGCCGTCTCATGCTGTAGCATGCTGTCTCATGCTGTAGCATGCCGTCTCATGCTGTAGCATGCTGTCTCATGCTGTAGCATGCCGTCTCATGTTGTAGCACGCCAACTCATGCTGTAGCATGCCGTCTCATGCTGTAGCACGCCGTCTCATGCTGTAGCACGCCGTCTCATGCTGTACGGTTCTGCGTGGTTCAGAGAGCGTCACGTCACGAGTCTATTTTGAGGCACCTAAAAAATAGGTTCCTAGGGGCGTCACTTCACCACCTGTTCACCTTACTTGCCCCGTCTCTCTCTACCACTCCACTCCCCTCATCCCCCTTTTTTTGAGGCGCCTCAAAACGCGTGAGGAGTCTACTCTTGAGGCGCCTCAAAATGCGTGAGGAGTTTACTTTTGAGGCGTCTCGAAATGCAGGAGGAGTCTACTTTTGAGGCGCCTAAAAAATGGACCACCTGTTCACCTTGCTTGCCCTGTCTCTACCACTTCACTCCCCTCGCCCCCCTCCCCTTCCCCTCCCCACCCCCTGCAGAAGCCTGTACGGCAACCACTTCTGGATCCCCCTAGGCTCTTCAGTGTCAGCATCCACCATTCCCCTTGCCCCCGTGTGACTTACCCTCTTCCCCCCCACCCGGTCTCCCTCCCCACCGCCTGCAGAAGCCTGTACACCAACCTATTCTGGATGCCCCTAGACTCCTTCACCTCGCACTTCACGTCCCTCTCCAACCTTATCGTACTGTGAGTGCCCCTTGGGCTGTGAGTGCTCTTTTGATCTGCAGCCCTGTGTCTTCTCATCTACCCCTTCTCTCCTTCACCTCGCACTTCACCTCGCACTTCACCTCGCACTTCACATCCCTCTCCAACCTTGTCATACTGTGAGTGCCCTTCCCATCTGTGACCCCGTGTCTTCTCATCTGCCCCTTCACTCCCCCATTCGCCCTCGTAATGCTGCGAGTGCTCTTATTTACCCACCCTGCAACTCACCCCGTCAAACCACCCCGCCACCCCACCCGGCCACCCAACCCTGCCAACCTACCCCGCCACCCCACCCTGCAGTCAGCTTTACTACAACTGGTTCTACGGATCGATACCCTCCTACCTGCTCGCTCTCCCCAGCCTTACAAAAGTGTAAGTCCCGTTTCTCAGGCTCTTTGTCCTTTCTCAGTCTCTTTGTCCTTTCTCAGGCTCTTTGTCCTTCACACCTCCTACCCTCCTCCCTGCCTGCTCTCCCCAGACTGTACGGATTAGCCCCAATCACTCCCCTACAGCATTTGTTTTTTAAATTTCTCAAAAACACAACACATCCAGAGTGTACGGGTTAGGCCCAATCCCTCCCCTACAGCCTTTCTTTTTTAGTGTTCCAAATTACATCACACATCCAGACTGTAAGGATTAGCCCAATCCCTCCCCCACAACCTTTGTGAGACTGTGACCAACTGCCTCTCGGACTTACGCTCTCTCCCTTTCCCACCCTCTCGCCCACCTTCTCCCCGGCCTTCTCCCCGGCCTTCTCCCCTCCCCCAGAGCCCTTTTGGGCAACTACCTCACAGGCTCCGTCCCCGTGCCCATCTCTACCGCCCTCTCCAGGCTCGTCTTAAGCTACAACTTCCTCTCGGGCTCAGTGCCATCTCACCCCTACAGCTCCTGTGAAGCTATCTACAACTGTTTCGCTGACTCGTCCACATGCACCACCACTGGCACCGTGCAAAGGAGCACAGGCTGTGCTATATGTGGGTCGGTAGACGGGTCGGGTACCCTGTGTGGGGGCACGGGTGTGTGTAAACCCGACGCGTCCGTGCCGCTCTTGCAGGAAAGCCCGAACCTTATCGCCTCACCTCTCATCAGCTTGGCTTGCGTTTAAAGCATGTTTTTTATGGACTGATATTGCAGTATTCATGTGAATTAGAGCTTATCAGTTGCATGTTTGTCGGTCATTTGGAGTAGTGAAGTTGGCTTGGCTCTCGTTTTGGGTTGCCATGTGCAACCTGCTCCTCATCTGTTCATATTACAGACAGGCACATGTTAAAGCTGCACTGCAATCAAGCGGCTCAAAGTGCCGAGAGACCCATTGGGGTTGCCCTTGAGATCCAAAGAAGCCTGGCGGACAGCGCAGGTAGATCTGCTCGTGCAGACGGCCCTGGAGGAACGTTGTGGAGAAGTCAAGGGAGTGCAGCTCGTAGTCGCGTTGTGGTACTATGTGTAGTAGCGCCCAAAGAATGGTTATCTACGAGGTCGGGGCGAAGGTCTGAAAGAAGTCAACGCCCTCGGGCTGACAGAAGCCTCTAGCAACGCGACTTGAATGTCGGCGTCTCTCCAGGAGGGCGCTTCACCTCGAAGAGCCACCGGCCATCGACTACGTTCGCCCCAGGTGGGGGAATTGCGTCGACGTAGGTGTTGGTGCATCTCCAAGATACCATCTCTGCGTCCATGACAGCTATCCACTGGGAGGCCTAGGTCCCGAAGTCGCCTCAACGTAGGTGCGAGGGGTCGGGATGTCAAGAGCGTCTGGGTCACCCTTAGGGGCTAGCAGCATGGAGTAGAGATGAGGAGAGGCCTCCGCAAGGAAAGCTAGCTTATACTGCCTGTCCTCTAGGACGACACTGCAAAGGGCCAGTGCACCCTTGATGGACGGAGGACAGGCAGGGTCAGAGACCAGAGCAATGGCGCAGTCAAGGCGGCGGGTAGAGGCAACGTTGGCGACAAGAGCCGAGAGACTAGAGACAGGAACAGATGGGTCGGTAATAAGAGAGGGGAGGACACGAAGAACAAGAGGGCGAGCAGCATGGAGGAAGTAAGAGAAAGGAGGTGAGGAGATAGTGAGAGACAACTAAGGAGGCGACGGGAGAAGAGGAGCAAGAGGAGCACGAGACACGTGAGAATAGAGAGGCATAGGGTGAACACTCGGAGCTGGAGAGATGCGACGAGCATGAGAGGGGCGGTGAGACCACCAGCGAGAGGGGGGCGTAGGGCCAGGAGGTAAAGGAGGAGATGCAAGAGGAGAACAAGGGGGGAAATAAGCAGGGGAGGAGACCGGTAGAGGGAACATGGGGCCGTAGACAAGAAGAGGAAGCGGAGCTGGGGGAGGCGTGGGTGGTCGGGCAGGAGAGGGAAGACTGAGGAGGCAAAGGGTGGAAACAAGCGGCGACTGTTGTTGCTGCTGCCGCTGCCGCTGCTGCTGCTGCTCCGCGCCCACACAAGGACCTCAGCTGCACTACGGCTACTTCCAGGGCTTGCCACAATAGCACCCCCAGGACTAGCACCCCCAGACCTAGAACCCTCCCCAGCACCCGCACCACCCCCTGGACCGCCGGGACTCGCCACGAAAACACCCCTAGGACTCGCGCCCCCAGAACTAGCACCCCCCTCAGAACCAGCACCCCAAGCGCCAACACCCCCAGAGCCAACTGACCCTTGCTGCTGCTGCTGCTGCGGAGGTGGCGACTGCTGCTGCTGCGGTGGCGGAGAAGGCACCGGGTCGGAGGGTGCAGGTGCCGCACAAACAGGTGGCTCACCCGGAGCCTCAGGGCCCCCGGAGTCAGCAGACTCCTCTGCCGAGCCAACCAAAGGAAGGGGAGTGAAGTGAGACACACCAGATGGGGCAGGACGGGGAGCGGGAGCTACCAGGGGTGTGGGAACAAAAAACAGGGGTGGGGTAAAGGGGAGACCTTGGTGCAGGAAGCGAGTGTAGAAGGAGACAGACTCGTCAAATGTGACATCATGCGAGTGAAAGAAACGGTGGGACAACGGGTGATAGAAGTGCCAGTCAGAAACGTCTAGGGGGAAACTATCACATGTCCAGGAGTTAGGGGAAGCTTGAATGATACTAATCAAGATTTGAATGTATACAAGCAAAGAGTAAATGTTCTTTATACCTACGAGAACTCTAGGGAAGGGTGACTAGGACCTTCTAAGAGTGTTCTAGAAATGAGTGGAACCGTCCGTAGGAACATCATCTGGAAGCACAGTAGGGATTCTAGAGATACGGTGGCGGTGACGGAACACTCCACGCACAAGAAAACGTGTCACACAAGGAATGTTGGAAACACTCCGTAACACATCCAGTATGATATACAATCCAAATAGCAATGTGTATGAAAGAGTGTAGGGATTTCCTGAAATGGAAAAACATACAAAATAGCACACAATAAATAGCAAATAGCAAATGGTTGTAATCAAGGATTTGGCAAGCCTCATCCTCTCACACTTCCCCCACTCAATATTGAGTAAACGCTAAATGCGCCCAGTTTTTCAGCAAACACAGAGGGTTGTGAAGCTCAAAGTAGTAAGTGAAAATAAGGACAACAAAGTTGCATTTGAACAACATCTCCTATGTACTTTAGTAGACACACTCGTAAGCCTGTACGAGTGTAGGTAGCAAGTATCCCACGATCAACTAGCGGGACGCGTGACGCTCCAATCCAAGTTGCAGAGTAGCATAGCGAATGTCGACAAGTCCATGCCTGAGTTGCGGTCAGTAGAATTCAGCTGCACAGTAGCATTCTGTAACGTTGATAACTACGGTCATGTGGGCAAGAAACCACCGAGCGTTTGTGTCACAGGATCTAATGTGTCAAGGAAAGGTTGCGCTATCGATCAGTACAAGGTGCTTTTACACTGGCGGAAAGTATTGCCCCGATAATTGCCTTAAAACATTTCTCGTACGGGTTTGGTGCCTTCTTTGTTTAGTTACGAATCAAATTTCGAGGTTGGATGTAAAGTAGTACTGTACTGTATGTGACGGATGCTGGTTTCAGTTTTATAGGGGTCGATTTTTTACGGAGGACGAGATTTCGTTCGCGTGGGTGCATCCGGACAGTTCAAGCCAAGCAGCGTAGTAGATCTATTTCCTAACCTCGCTATTTCTACTTACTTGCCCTCGCGACTATCGAGTAGTCAGGAGATAGGCTAGGACCGCTGCAACGATAAGGCCGTCATGAAACCGTTAGATGAGGCGCTCTACGCATAGATCATTCCCTTGTTGCGGAGGGGGTATAGCAATCGTTGAATCGCTAAACAACTAGGCATAGGGAAGAGTTTGGTCCATCAAGGCGACTGTAGAGTCTAGCCGCGATGACGTGCGTCCTACGATGCCCTCAGCCGGTCGCCCTCGCATAGTGACAGAGAGAGCTCGCTGCGGCATAGTTCGGTCGATTACCAGCGAGGAGGCAGAAATCTCCGCTCACGTGGCGAAGATCGTTGAGAAGCAGCACGGCATCACGTTGCATCCTAAGACATTGTGTAACGCTTTGAATGGGAGTGGACTTGTCGCAATCAAGCATCCCAAGAAGCCGCGACACTCTTGGAAAAACATACGCAATAGGCTGGAATGGGTGCGTGCCCACGCAGACTGGACGGTTGACGACTAGAAGCGAGTGATCTGTTCGGATGAGACCAAGATCGGTCGTCTTGCATCCGACGGACTCTCATACGCCTGCGTTCACGAAGGGACTGCCCTCCAAAGACACCAAATCAAGCAGACCGTCAAACACGGGGGTGGTTGCTTGATGATTTACGACTGCATGTCGTAAAAGGGAGCAGGTTTCATGATCAAAACATATGGTAGGATGGACGAACTGCTCTTGCTCAGTATACTGCAGGACGATCTCAACAGTACGATTGAGCTTTACTAGCTTACACCCTCTGAAACTATCTTCCAGCACGACAACGACCCGAAGCACAAGTCGCGTATCGTACAGGAGTGGCTTTGAGAGCAAGATTCTGGGGTGCTAGAGTGGCCATCTTCCTCACCCGACCTCAACCCAATGGAGCATTTATGGGCTCATCTCAAGAGGCAGCTGGCCAAGCCTTATAAGCCTCCCACTGGTATGCTGGACCTTTGGGAGTGGGTGCAGGAGGAATGGGAGAAGATCCCGGCAGATGTGTGCACCCACCTGGTGGAAAGCATGCCCAGGAGGGTGAGGGCGGTGATTAAGGTGAAGGGGCGGTGGATTAGGTACTAGTTTGGGGTTGATGTAACTTGCTGCTTGCGCCTGGCAATAATTGTCCACATGTACCAAGATTGATATTTTCTGGTATTTGTTGTAAACATCATTATACTTGTGTGATGTAAGGCATGGGCGTAGAGCCTTACCCCAACCTACATACACTAGGCACACCAGAAGATTAAGGCTTAATGTCCATGACCCCCTAAAATGGCAAAATTCCTCTAAGTCACAAACATGTGGACAATACTTTTCGCCAGTGTATACTTCCAAGGTACACCAGGTAACTACGTCTATCCTATCTCAAACGAATAGACCCTTCTAGAAAATAGAATCACCCTGCGTATAGCCATGCGAGGCTATTGGCTTTAAGGGATTACGGCAGGATTACGCTAGATATAGCGTGCCAGTATACCCCGAGCCTGGTCAGTGATATAATGATAATAACAACATAAACCAAAGGTTTATGAAAAAAGAGGAATAGGAATCCAAATGGAATGAGATAAAGACCAAATGAATCAGGATAGAAAGAGGAATGAAATGGAAAGGGAATATGGAAAGGAGAAAGGAATGGAACGGGGTCGTACTCTCACAGTTTGAGGTTGACATATCTGTAATTTAACGGTCCATATACCGTAGAAACGTGGTAACTGCGGCGTGCCTTTGCGAAGAGACTCGTTGCCAAATGATTGTAGTAGGATGATGTCACCATGCTCATCAGTGGAGCATCAGTCTATGGTCGTGGTCAAAGAGATATGGGGATTTCTACGCTCAACCCATTTGACTCCTCTTCCATTTCCAATACGTTGTTAGTGACGATGACAGTGACTCCAGTATGTCTTATGCATATCCAGTTTAGTACGGATTCCATCAAGTGGTCCCGGTGTCTGGATGAACGTATAGGTGTAGGTCCACTGGATCGTCATGTGTCCTCAATCCGTTGATGTTTTAGTAACAGCTTCAAAGATGTTGAAGTCATTTCAGCTACTCAGAATCGATGTTGAATCTGCTCCAGT